AGCCATGATGTATAAAGATATATAAAGTTGCTTTTTCCCCCCTCTCTTATGATCATTGCAAATCTACATTGCTTAGGATTTTATTTTCCCCCTTTCAGCGCATACGCCTGGCTAATACTCTGTGAAATAGACTGTGTCTAGAATTCTTTTCAGCAAATCATATTAGGCATTTCCTTCAAACAGCAGCACTTTCTTTGGATTGGGTTGTTTAAAAACACAAAGTGTATGCTACATTTGGAGAATTTTGAGATGCTGGTATATCAGAAATAGCAGATAAATCAATGTATTATAGTCTCTAGCGTACCTGACTCACGGTGGATCCTCTCTCCCCAAATGTATATTTGGTACTGTAAAAGGAAGACTGCATTATTCTTTCACTTTTCAAACATTGTTCTTGCTAATTATTATTTCTTTAAAAAAAAGTCTTTTGTGTGCTGGAAAAAGGCATGTTTATGAAACATATATTCTCTAAGAAGTTATAATGGTATTGAGCTATCTTGGTTAAGAGAAAATAGGACAAGGTCATTGCAGATAATCCATCAGGATATAGAAGATAAATTATCTTATGGATGAAAATGTATCTAAAAGTAAAATGCATAGTTTCCATGAGGTTTGTGGTACAGTCTGTTTGATAAAGTATATGTATCTGGTGCACCATCAGTCTCTCAGCTGCCATTAGTAAAGTGAAATATGGCCAGTGGGTTTACTGCTAGGAGTCAAGTGATAGCACAGATAAGGCCTGTTCAACTTTCCTTTTCACTTTTTAATTATCCCTCCCAGCCTTAGATGTGGGGAAAGATCTAGGGAACAATGAAAAAGCAACCAGGGAAGAGAGCAGAAAGAAAAGGTTCAAGAACCATCAATCTGATTGTCCAGTTGCAGTCAAACTCCTTCCCATCTCACAGCCCCAGACCATATTTTAGTGAGATTTTTAAAAGGTTCCTTTAAGATAAAATGTCTTAGAAGATTTGGCCACAAATGAAAAGCAGTCATTTGACAACTGGAGGGTTTTCTTTTGGTATTCTAATTCCACTACAGCTAAAACAGAACTGGTTAGTCATAACATCTTTATGCGCAATGGATTTGCCTTTACGGTTACATCAGAAAGAATAACACAGGGACTTTTGTTTGTTAAACATGATCACAAGTAGCAGCTATTTTTATAATAATAATAATAATATAATAATAATAATAATAATAATGATGATGATGATGATGATGATGATGATGATGATGATGATGATGATGATGATGATGATGATGATGTAGCGCTACCTCTTCAGAGGCCGCCAATGCCCAGGCCCTCCCGGCCACAACCCCCCTTGTCCAGCCTTGCGGTAATGTTCTTTAGAGATCGGTGAGATGTCTTACAACCGGAACCCAGGCAGCATTGATGGGTGGCAGGCTCTTCTTGCTGAAGCAGGACTTTCAGGCACGAACTTAACCGGTCACAATGGTTGATGCCCCGAAGATGTATGTAACAGCTCAGGGCTGCTTTAGCAGCAGGAGTAACAAGCCCCTGAGCAATCGTTCAGAGTCCGCTACAATAATAATAATAATAATAATAATAATAATAATAATAATAATAATAATAATAATAATAATAATAATAATAATAATAATAATAATAATAATAATAATACCATCAATGCCAAATCTAGTCTAAATATCTGGCTGACTGTGCGATGATCAGTAATAATAATAATAATAATAATAATAATAATAACAACAACAACAACAACAACAACAACAACAACAACAATAATAATAATAATAATAATAATAATAATAATAATAATAAAGTTGGAAGGGACCTTGGAGGTCATCTAGTCCAACCCCCTGCTCAGGCAGGAAACCCTATATCATTTTCGGACAAATGGCTATCCAGTCTCTTCTTAAAAACTTCCAGTGTTGGAGCATTCACTGCTTCTGGAGGCAGGTTGTTCCACTGGTTAATTATTCTAACTGTCAGGAAGTTTCTCCTTAGTTCTAGGTTGCTTCTCTCCTTGATTAGTTTCCACTCGTTGCTTCTCGTCCTGCCCTCAGGGGCCTTGGAGAATAGCTTGACTCCCTCTTCTTTGTGGCAGCCCCTGAGATATTGGAACACTGCTATCATGTCCCCCCTTGTCCTTCTCTTCATTAAACTAGACATACCCAATTCCAGCAACTGTTCCTTATATGTTTTAGCCTCCAGTCTTCTGATCATCTTTGTTGCTCTTCTCTGCACTCTTTCTAGAGTCTCAACATCTTTTTTACATCGCGGTGACCAAAACTGGATGCAGTATTCCAAGTGTGGCCTTACCAAAGCATTGTAAAGTGGTACTAATACTTCACGTGATCTTGATTCTATCCCTCTGTTAATGCAACCCAGCACTGTGTTGGCCTTTTTGGCAGCTGCAGAACACTGCTGGCTCATATTTACTGTAAGTGATTGTCCACTAGGACTCCGACATCACTCTCACAGTTACTACTATTGAGCAAAGTACCCCCTATACTACACCTGTATATTTGGTTTTTCTTGCCTAAATGTAGAACCTTATTGTTTTCACCATTGAATTTCTTAGAGTTTGTTCTGCTTGTTGGCAGGGTTTGGTTTCTTTGCACTGCACTGTCTGCAATTGATGTGGCAAAGCTATCAATGCATGATATGATGAAGGGATTGGGAAAAAAAGCCTGTTTCACAGCCTGATACTGAACTGGGTTGAGAAACGGGGCTGGCCCAAGGATACCCACCTGGCTTGTGTGCTCAAGGGAGGGCTAGAACTTGGTTATTTCTGCTGCTAACCCAGTATCTTAACTATTACACCATTGTAAGTAGCAATTTCAGTATATACTGTAACAGGGCTTCTAATCTTTGTTTAATATATCTGCTAGTTTTTTAAAAAAGCGGAATCTGAACCCTTTAGGATAAAACATTGTACGGGTTTTCTTCTAATCTTTTCTTTTCAGAAGCCAGTAAAGAAAACGTAGACTTAGACAGGCTCAGAAATAATTGAGGGTTGATTCTTCTAAAAAGCGTCCACAGTTTATCCCTGAATCTCTTACTAAGTATGTCTCCCATCTGTCTCCCTCCTAAAATTTCTTCAGTACTGGCTGGAATTTCTTGCTGATTAATAAGGAGAAGAAAGCATGTGGAGTCATTGATGCTCTCTGAGCTTAGTTGTTTATTTGGAGATGTTTCATTGCCCAACTAGGTGACATCATCAATACTAGCTCATTGATGTGTGCTGAAGATGTTACCTAGTTGGGTAATGAAATGCCTGCAAGCAAAGAACCAAGCTCAGAGAGCACCAAGGACCCCACAGTTTGACCCTAATCTACTGATATTCTCTCCTGTTGGGAGAAAGTTTGTTCTGGGCAGGATAAAAAACAATGGTTGGAAACCGATCAAAGAGAGAAGCAACCTGGAATTAAGGAGAAACTTCCTGACAGTGAGGACAATTAATCAGTGGAATAGCTTGCCCCCAGAAATTGTGGGTGCTCCATCACTGGAGATTTTTTTTAAAGACTAGACAGTCATTTGTCTGAGATGGTATAGGTTCTCATGCTTGAACAGGGGGCTGGACTAGAAGGCCTCCAAGGTCCCTTCCAGCTCTATTCTGTTCTGTTCTGTTCTAAACTTAGCTTGAAATATTTCACTGTTGTTAAATATCTGCTGTTTTTCTTCTTTGGGATTTATGTACTTCTGCCCTTTCACAAGACATCATTTGAGGATAATCTTTGGGGTGCTTATAAGTAAAGTATATACTTACAAGTAAAGATGTCTTCCTGCTCTTCATGGACAATTAGAGGCTTCAGAGATAACCATTCAGTCTTGTAATTCAGAAATATAGCAGGATAATCTATATGAGCACATTAGAAAATATTGCATGAAAATATAGGTTTCCTGTGGTCTTTTTAATAAACATTCATAAACTGATGGAGAAATAGGACTGAAATGTTTTAGAAAATAGCCATATTTTTTTCTAGTGTGCTTAAGCTTACAATAAGTC